TGGGAGATGGGAGCACGGCTGAATCCAGGACCATTTCTGGGGGTGTCAGGACCCACCCGTGTCAGAGGCACATCTCTAGCCACTGATTCCACCTCTGGATTGTCTGAACATTTTGGCTAAGCTCTGCGTGCCACTGTGTTTCACGCTACTGCAGGCCACATAGGGTTTTCTCTTTAACAAGGGTCATAGGTGAGTTGGGGAAAAATAGGAAATATGAATCTCTTAGTGACCCAGGAGAACAAGAGCCCTAACAGCAGTCCCGCCCTGAGACCGTTAAATCCTTTTGCTCATCATAAACTGCCTCACTGGGGTCAAGCACATTGCTTGAAGGAAGCAACTACAGTACAACAAGTGAACCCGTGAGGGGATTCAGGAGTTAGAGAGAGAAGACTCATTACGCTATGATTGCCAGCCACAGGGACTGAGGACGTCTCAGCCAGTCCACTCCCAAAACCCACCTGAAAGTCGGACCTACCACATGCATCTGAAGTCCTAACGCTGGGGACAGTAGGATCCCTGAGCTCATGGGCCAGCCAGTCTAGCACAAGTAGTCAGTGCCAGGTTCAGTGAGAGACCCTGCTTTAAAATATATAGTAGAGAGTGATGGAGGAAGGCACCTAATGTCAACTGTGGCCTTGACATGCACGCATGCACGCATGCACGCACATACATACATACACATACACACATACATACACGCACACATATTGCCAGCCACTATCTTTAAACTAGACACAGACTATAGTAACATTCCTATCCCAAAGGTCAGTCCAAACTTTTCTCTCCATATTCTCTCAGTGCTTCCCTCTGAAATTGGTCTGTGATGCCATCCTCCTCCCCGGCTCCCAGAAAGTATCTCACACTAGAGGCTGCTCTGCACCCCCAGCCACCCATTAACTGCAGTCACTGAACCTTGAGGAATACATTCACACATTTCTAAACAGCCTATGGGAGTTTCATGAGCTGAACTGCGTCACTCAAGATTTCTATGTTGGCACCTGAAACCGGGCAACCTCAGTTTGTGGCTTCTTTTGGACTAGGGGACTTTAAAGGGGTGACAGAGCTAAAGTGAGGTTTAGTGGAAACCCCCACCCACTCTAACTAATGTTCTTAGAAGAGATATGAGCACACAGAAGATAGACTGTGTGAGGACATGGGTGAAAGGTGGCCGTCTTCAAGCCAGAGAGAGAAAAACCATCACTAGCTTTTAGTAGAACTGTAGGCATTTGCTGTTTAAACCACCCAGTCTTAAGGATTCTGTTATACCTGTGTAGAAAACTAACTGGGGGTGGGGTGGGGTGGGCAGTACTACCCTTCCCTGAGAACCAGGAGAAGGTCCTGCATGAATTCAAGATCCAACAGATACCCTGTCCAATATCCTTCCACATCTCCAGAGGAAGTATAACCCATGATCCTTTATGGAAGATGAGCACAACAGGATATGCTTTGTGATACCAAAAGTCCCAGGTTTCAATGAGGTAATAAAGTGTCACTAACAAATAGTTCCTACCATCATCCTATGGGGGTCGTGGAGCAAGACCCTTTAACCTGTGGCACAAATGTTTCTTCCCTAAAACATAAAACATGTGAGCCCTATTAATATCAGAATATGATGAAAAACATTCACCAAATAAAGCTTCATATCAGATGAGATTTTAACAACCACTGAGTTATAGAAAGCTGTTGGATTTCAAAGTCTCAATGAAGGTTCTGATCTGCCTCCTAAGGAAAATAAAATGAAATGATCTCAAGCCCCCAAGGATGAGTAGGATGGAGTCTCTCCTGGTGAAAAGGGGCAACTTTCAAACACCCTGCCTGGAGGCGCCAATGTTTCAGGATTCTCGAATTGGTTCTGACTCCAGGTTGGTGCTGTTTTCCCAAATCTCTATCCTTTTTCCTTGGTCTCCCTGATTTCAGATGGAGGAAGCTTCCAAAAGACCTTATTGAATTCTAAGTGATAGAAAACAGCAGATAAACATCTATACAGATCCTACTTTGTTAGCTAGCTCTGAAGCTCCTGAGCCCCAATAGAGTTCCCATGAGTCCCTGAAGACACTAGGTCTTACAGTCAAATATCCAGTGCACCCCAAACCCCACCACCTAGGGACACAAAACCTTATCTTTTCCTTTCCACCTTTAGCTCTCCAACAGATGGTTCTTCTTTAGCCCACATTAAAGTGTGGAAGAACATGTCAGTCGCCTGCCCATGCTCCCACCCATCTAAGCATCACTTACTTGGGTAAGTATTCATTGTCTAGTGCTTTGCTAAGTGCTGTGGATACAGCTCTAAGCGAAACCCTGAATGATTGGCCAGGGCTTCTTAGAAACCTCTGAGCTCTCCACTTCAACAGCACAGGTTGCTCCCATTAAGTTTCATTTTAATTGTGAAATGTCAGCCTTCCTAACTCTACTTGAAGCTTGTTATAGGAAAATCCACATCCTACAATTTCTTCAAGTGTTTAGCACAATGTTTGGCCTTCATTAGGGCACACAGATAACTGTTTATTGAATTAATGGATAAATGAACTGGCATGAGGGAGAACTCGGCTACTAAATGCTGTCTAGTCCATCTTTGAACTGTCTAAAAGGCAATCCAGTCTCTTTATCCTGCTACTGTCCTTTCAACGGCCCTTGTCTAGACGTATGTGACAACCAGGCACCTGGTCTTCGCACTCACACTGTCTGCACTCCTCACTGCTACCAAGAAAGGCTTTATAATGCAACTTCTTAAGTTCCCACAGAACGAGGGTCAGACTCCTTGGCATCACATATGTGGGCATTCATAATCCGCCCCAACTTTTCCTCTTATTTCCAATCTTCTACCTCTACCATTCAACACAGCTCCATATACTCAGGGTTACTCAACATTCTTAAAAATATGCAACTGTTTGGCATCTTTATGTCTGCCTGTACTGCTGTCCCATTTTTCTATAACATGTTCTTACTGTTCCTCTGTCTCCCATCCCAACTTTATCCCAATGAGATATATTGAGACCAATTCAAATATCATTTCTCACATGAGTTTCCCCAAATCCCTGGGCAAGTTCATTCTATTCCTTTAAAAGCAGGCAGTGATGACGAGTCCCAGGATGGAAGGATCAGTTCATCTCTTGCATGCACTGAACCTATAACACACAATGTACACACATCATGTACTTTCCATACACTGTACACTTAGAAGAGGCCATTCCTGGACCCAAATAGTGACTGTGAAATGCAGTTCTCTGCCTTCAAGAAGCTGTTGGTAAAACAAAAGCTTTTGGAGGGTGTGTCATATGCAAATGGTTAACCCAATGGTTAGGTGGGCATTGTCAGGAGTGAGTTAATAAATAGGCAGCTGGAAAATACTGAAGGATTAGTCCTGGGGAAGAAGACAGAGGAAGAAAAGAAGCCACATAAAAACAGATGGAGAAAACATTGTGCTTCCCCTGTTTCACTGTTCACCTGGGACCAGCCCTAGACTCATGTAGTAACCTTGATCATTCGGTCACTCAGAAAAACACTAATGCCCAGGCACTGTGAAATATTCCTTCGAAGCCACATATGATTGAATAAGACACAGTCACTGTTCTGAAATTGTCAACAATTGAGCAAGCTCTTGAATTCCAAGAATTTCAAGCCAGTCATTCTATACAGGGACTTTTTTTTTAAATAAACCAAACATAGGGGGAAAAATATGAAGTTGGAGTTCTAAAGCTTTTAAACATTGCTAACTTTATTATACAGGATAAATACAGGAGGTCATAAATTGTTAAGGAGCTAGCCTCTAATATTCTCAAAGCCAGCCAAGAAATATTTCCTGACTTTAGCATAAGTAAGGTAGCAATTCAAATAAAAATCAGAGAATAATTGAGTTTGCTCTTATGTTTTCTGTACTGTACAAATTCTTTCAAGAGTTGAGCTTACAATAATTGCAATTTTAACACAGCAGCTTCTAAGAGAATTTGGTGTGCAAAAAAGAGGGCAAGAGCTATGTAAAACAAGATGGGCTTATATTTGGTAAAAAAAAAAATGCTGCTATTTGCCTAGTAAATTTGCTTAAAACTAATCATACATAAAATTTAGTGGCTTCTGGCTCTGGATGTAGCTCCATGTATTAAATGCACAAGGACCAGGATTCAATTCTTAGCACCAGGGAAAAATAATTCTAAAAGTATCCGTATTAATTACTTTTCTAGTGCTGTGCCAAGAAGTCATGACCAAGGCAACTTACAAAATTAATTGGGTTTCCAATTTCATAATACTGGAGCATCCGCATGGCAGGAACAGTTGAGAGCTCACACTCGGATCCACAAGCAGAACATAAAGACAGCTAAATGGGAATGTGAAGCCTGGCAGCCCAAACCCAGTGAGAAACTTCCTTCTACAAGGCCACACCTCCCAATCCTTCCCAGACAGTTCTACCTAATTTAAGTATTCAAACACAGGAGGCCATGGGCCATTCTCATTCAAATCACCACACTCTGTGAGGTAGTTACAGTCCTTTAGTGAGCTATGCTATAGTCAAGATCTAAACTTACCAGGAACTAGAATACTGTTTGGGGGCTTACAAATAGAAATAGGACACTGTTCATCCAGATACGATCCATCTGGTAAGACACCATGTGACCATGAAGAAGAGGAAAAGGAAAAGACTAATAGGACAAGCAGTTTAAAAACAAGCTTAAAGTTTGGAGTTAGACTGAAGACTCCTGGCAGGCTTTTTCTAGAAGATTCAATAAGTCAAATACTTTATCACAGCTCTGTTAAAACCCACAACCACCACAATAAAGACACATTCGTGGAGGCTCTCTTATCTGACTAGATGAGATAAATAGAACATGTTTGTTGCTTTATATTTTTAATTATTTTTTAGCTTTAATTATTTACATTTTTCCCTTTCCTCCCTCCAAACCCAAGCCCTCCTATATACTCCTCCTTGATTTCTTTCAAATTCATGGTCTCTTTTTATATTGTTATTTCATATATATATATATATATATATATATATATATTTGGTACATATGTGAATTTAGTTTTTGATGGTAAAAGAGTGCATTAAAAGTCTTGACATTTTGCTGTTTTCTTGCTCTTGCTGTGAAGTACTGGTCTCTGCTACAAGTGAGTTTCTAATTGAACCTTGTCTTGGCAACAGTTCCCACAGGTCAGTGAGGACTTTTAGCAAGTTTGTGCTTTTTGGGGTGATCTGTCATGTAGTACAGACTTCAAAGTCAGACTACTTGGGTTCAGAATCCTTTGCCAAATAAATAGAGGTAATTGGAATATTTGGCTCATTAGGCTTTCAGTAGTAACACAAACCATGTAGGACAGTTGTAATCTTGTACAAACATTAATTCATATCTTTTTCAGTTACTGTCACTGACCTCAGGGACTTGCCAGTATCTAATGTCATTGTTTTATTGATCATTTCTATCATCATTATTAGAGACTGTGTAGACTTGGAGTGTGACTTTTTTTTTTCTTCTTTCTTTAAAGCATTTTTTTTTTAAAATGCTTATTTAGCAGGAACTCCTGTAATGCTAACACGTATATAGTCTGTACAATGTAACTTGTACATATGTTTACAGGACTGATACTATGGAATTAACAAATCACTGTGCTCTTCCCTGGGGAAGACTGTGTCTCTTGCCCCCAGCCTTCCTCAGTTGACTATAGTTCTTTGTGTAGGATTGAAGCTTTGTGGGCTTTTATTCATTCACTTGGCTCATCTATAGGTTCAGGCAGTCATGCTGGTGAGACTTTATGGGTGCAGCTACCAATATTACCAGGAAACACTTCTCACAGCAAACTCCCTGACCTCCCAGCTCTGACAATCTTTCTGCTCCCTTTTCTGCCATGTTCCCTGAGACTTGGGTGTAGGAGTTGTTTTGTACATGTATCCATTGGGACTGTGTTCCACAACACTGCATTTTCACTGGTTGCGGTTTTCTGTATTGGTCTCTATCTCTTGCAAAAAGAAGTTTCCTTGATGAGAGGCAAAGACTACGCTTAACAGAAAAATTTTACTAAAGGAATATTTATTCCTACAGCTTTTATTTTCAATTAGAATATAAAAATATCCATACATTTGCCAAATTTTCAATATAGGAACAAACCCTTTTCTTTAGTCACTAATTTGATGATTGAACTTATCTTTTTTTAATATAATCATACCATAAGCTCATAACCATGTTCCTAGTTTCAGTTCTTCATAGACACCTCATAGGATCATTTCTTGGTTCGTATTCCTATCCTGTTTCTAGACCATTTGTTCAATGCTCTTCATTGAATAACTCTGGTTTCTTCACTGAAAATCAACCCTGCTCAGATAATGTCCCATTATCTATGTGTTTGTCTTTATGCCAATACACACTGTCTTTATTACTGTAGCTTCACAGTAAGTTTTAAATAGGTCATGTAAGACCCTGATTTTGTTCTTTCATGTTCAGAAATATGTTGACAACTTGGAGCACTTTAAATTCCCCAAAACATTTTATAATAAATTAACTTTCTAAAAGAGAAAAGTCTTACTTAGATAAATTTTTACATGGGGATTGGTGACAAGGCCTCATTATTTAACCCTGAATGGCCTAGAACTCTCCCTAGACCAGGCTCACAGTGGTCCCACCTGCCTCTGCCTTCCAAGTTCTGGGTTAAAGGCGTTTCCCCTATGCCCAACTCCTACTGAGACTTTTACTGGCTTAGAGATGAAGCACAAAGTAAGGCTGAGGAGAAGTTAAGTATTGAACCATTGATTCTTTTGATCCAAGGGGACCACATGTTTTTTGTTTACTGATAGTGATATTGTGTATATGTTGCTATATTTATTTAAAATATTTTATGGTTATCTATATGTGAGATGTAATTTATTTTCATACATTGAATTTGTTTTAATGACCTTCCTAAATTCATGTAAGTGCTAATGATTTTATATAAATTCTTTAAAATGATCCACAACGAAAGATCATATGATATTGGAGGTAGTTTTAGTTCTTCCTTTCCCATCAGTATGCTTCTAATTCTTTTTCCTATCTTATTCTGTATGCTACAATCGCTAGGATAATGCTGAGTGGGAACAGTCAAGACAAACAACCTTGATTTCTTCCCCACTTTATAGCAAAACCATTCAGTTTCACCAACAAGTATGATACTAGCTGTAGGTTTTTCATTGATAATTTTACTAAGTGGAAGTTAAATCTTACGTTGTATTACACATACCTGCTTAAATCGATTTCTCGAATCTTTGATGAGGATTACATATTCTGTCTTTTCCGCCATTATATAATAAACTACATTGATTTATTTTCAAATTGATTTATTTCTACCAATATAACAGTGATAAGGTTATATTGTTACACTTCTTGGAGATGGCAATTGACTCCTCTTATATCTTTTTGGATTTATAAACATGAATACATTGTTGAAGAGTGTGTTCTTTCTATGTTTATGAGGAATATTTCCTTAATATTATCTCAGATTATCACCAAGAGAATACTGCTTATGAGTTTTGAGATGTTCCCCTTGCTACATTTTCTGGAAAGTTCTGTGTAGGATCTTTCCTTACACATTAGATAGAACTCACCATTGAAAGCTTCTGGTCTTAGCTTTTTGAGAAGCGATTTAAAGGAGAAATACACATTTTAAATAGATTTGGCATTATATGGGTGACCTTTCCTGCTTGAGTGAGCTTTTACAGTTTTGTTCTTTTCAAGGAGCTCCCTCATTTGCCTGTACTGTCAAGATTATTGTCATAGTGTAATTGTTTCTTCTGGATCTTCAAATTACCGTCAAATCCACAGTGGTATGCCTCTTTCCTATCTGACATCAGTAATTCTATTTTATCTCTTTAATTCTTAATATTTCTAGAGGTATTTCCAATTCCATTGGTCCTGTCTAAGATCTAGATTTTGGATTTCTCTGATTTTTCTTCTTCATTTCTCTGAATCCCTTTTTATTGACCTCCCATTATTTGTTTATTTATTTCTTCTATTTATCCCAGGTTTGTGTTGTCCTTACTATATTCTTCACATGGAAGCTTCTGTCATTGAAGACTTTTCTTCTTCTTTAATCTAATTTGTAACCTCTTCAAAGGTCTCCTCCTACATTGGCTGGAGTAGACCAATTTAAATAGGCTGGATTTTGTTACAATTCAATCCAAAATACTTCCTAATGACCCTGTGATTTCCTTTTAGGCCCACTTGTTGCTTAGAAGTTCATTGTTTAATTTTAAAATTTTGGGGTATTTTCCAGACATAGTTATGTGGTCACAGAGACAATATTCAAGGTTTCAATCATCACAAATTTATAAGACTGTCTCATGGTCCAGAATACCATATCTGTTCCATGCATTTGCCCCAGGCTCTCACAGTGAAGTCCTTCTGACTGTGGCTCAGAAAAGAGAGCCACCTCAAAATAAGATGACAAATCCTCTTTTTAGATTGGGAATACCTTAGAAGAAGAGAAGAGGTATCTCAAATTGGGACTACATTAGAAGAAAGGAAGAGGTAAAAAGTGAGGAGTTGAGCGAGCTGAACAGAAGGGAACAGGAGATGAGCCTGGGGGCTAATGGACCTTACACAGCACCTGCCCCCACTCTCTGGAAGCAGGGAGAGCATCTCTGCCACTGCATCAGATGACATTTGAGGTCTGTCTGAAGCTAAGTCCTTTAGACTCTTACCAGAAAAGCATACAGCAAAAGCCAGAGGCTTTGCAGAGGGAGGCCTTATAACCCAGGGAGAAGTCCAATGCAAAGGCAAGATCAAGTTCACAAAGAAAAGTTCAATACACCTTGTGTTCAGACACATAGTGCTGTCTGTGTGACTTGTCACCACACAGATCTTCTGACCAGGAAACTAAGAGAATTGTAAAAATGGAAACAAAAGAAGTGTATTCATCAATCTTTTTTGAGGAATGAGATTTCTCCAACAGATGATGTCTAGTTTTGTGGTCCTCCACAAACACCCAGAGATTTCATGTCTTTCATTTTTCAATGAAAATGGGAACCATAGAGAAACTATGAAATTATTGTAAGATAGAAAACAAATGACTTGGTCTATTCTGCTTCAAGACCACATTTTCATTTATCTCTCATATGCAGTACTTTGTCTTTAGATGCCTTATCAGAGAAACAAGCTGTATATTTATGGATTACAGTTCATGAAATTATTGATATTATTTATATATTACATTAGTTAGTTTACGTATTATGGGCAGAAAACTCCCCTCAAAAGCAACATAAGTAGGGAATGGGTTACTGTGGCTCACAGTCCCAGGGTACTGTCCATCACAGCAGAGGAGTCATGACAGCAGGAGGCTGAGAGATGGTCACATTGATTATACAACTGGGAATCAGAAAGAGATGAATGATGGCAGCCAGCTTTCTCTTGAGTCTGTAGTTCAGAACCTCAGCCTTCCGGCACATAGGGCAAGCCTTGCCACTACAGTTGATCTAATCTAGATCATTCCTTACAGAACTTTATCTCTTCTATGATTCTGAATTCTATCACATGACAATCAGTGTCAATGGCCACACATGCTATCTCCTTTTTCCATTCCAGTGGAGAAACGACACTACAGGATGGCATTAGACATACACACCCAAAGACTTGCTCTGTACTGAGAAGCATTAGATCATAAGCAACATTCTTGCTGGAGTGTCCCTTCTTAGAAAATCCTGTTTCTCATAGTGGAGGGGAAATGAAGCATAGATGGGAAGTTCCAATGAATGTAGCATTATGATTGTTGGCCTTCTCCAGCCCAGCAGCCATCGAGACTACACATTAAAACAAAAACGCAAGCCAAAGCAAATGTGTTTTAAGTTGTTTTGCTGGCAGTGGAAGAGCTGGCGGAGGGGGCAGTTCTCACTGTTTCCTAGCTGTTGGTGTTCCTCTCTTCTGTGCCAGGAGCCAGCACACAGCTTGGCTACTGGAAATGTCAGCTCAGGCCCAACAGGTGCAAACACTAGGTGAGGTCACCGAAGCCCAAAGATGTGGAGAATGAGATCGGCACACGCTGATGCACAGGTACAAGCAGCAAACAGTTGGCTGAAAGGACTTCGATTGCTCTTGGACAAAGGAACACACAAGCAATGGATAAGACAGGAGGAAGCCGGGAGCGGCTCATGCCAGGAGACTGCCACACACATTTCTCTCTAGCTATTTCCAGCTAGCCAATGTCACTTGCCCTCCATCACCGCCAGTCATGCCATTCCTTGATAACACATGGGCAGCCTCTCTTCTTACTCAAACTTACAAAGACTGTGTATACCCAGAAGCTGACATATCCAGAAGCAAGAATTAATCTGACTAATTAAGAGAAATGATTAGCAGGCCTGAATAGGCAAGAAGCAGCATACATCCATTAGTGCTTGAGGCTCATCAGGGTAATCTGAGTTGCTAAGGGAAGTCTCACATAGCTGTTCTGAAATCCACACATCTACATTAGGAATTGTTTTTTGATGGTGATAAGGGTGTGTTTTTCTTAATTTACTTTTGTTTATTGGTAGGTACTGGCCAGAAAAGCAGACCGACAAAACATAGGCAGCAAAGTGAAAATGAAGCCCATGAGTAAAAATAGAGTCCGTGAAAAGTTTTGTTGTTTATGTAATAAATGTCCCCTATAGTCTCTGGCATATGAATGCTTGGTCCCTGGTTGGTGGCACTGTTTGTAAAGTCTCAGTAGGTGTGGCCTTGTTGGAGGAAGTATGTCATTGGAGGTGGGTCTCGAAAATTTCAAGCTCTGCAACGGTTTGAGTTTGCTTTCTCTCTACTTCCTGCTTGCAGTTTAAGATGTGAGCTCTCTCCACTGCTGTTCCCAACACCAAAGGCACCAGTCCTTGCCTTGCCTCCAAGTCACGATGGACCATAAGCCAAATCAATCCTTCTTCCTATAAGTTGTCTTGATCATGATGTCTTAACACAGCAATAGAAAAGTAACACAAAAAACTTGTGATTTTACTAAGACTCACATGGTTAAAGACAAAAATATACTTTCATGGTAATATTGTAATACATATTAATCATGGAACACTCGAGAATTATGACTACCAGATAGAACATTTGACTAAGCATGCCACTTCCATCCAGAGATAACAGCATTGTTTCTGGATACAAATATCCTCACCATAGCACCCTGGTTCTGTTTTCTGGAACACACACACACACACACACACACACACACACACAGAGAGAGAGAGAGAGAGAGAGAGAGAGAGAGAGAGAGAGAGAGAGAGAGTGCGCGTGAGTGTGCGTGCATGCGCGTGTGCACATGCGTATACACGTATTGGTCCAACCTCCACCACTACCGTGGATTTAACTTCCTAAACAGGGGTCTATCTGTTTTATTTATCAGTCTCTGAACACAGTAGACTCAATATTTATTGAATGTTATTACAGCCTGCTGTTTTTCACGTATTTATAGAAATGACATTTTCCCATCTCATTAAATATCCTTTCACTATAATGTAATTTTAATGATTGTTTATCATCTATTCTATAATTTAATTGAACTATCTCTTCATTGCTGAACATATACAAAATGCTTCACATTACTTATTTTGATAAATAGTGCTATGATGGCTATCTTTTAAGTAATTGTTTTTGCTCTGTCATAGGATCAATTGGTTGGATGAATATGCATGCCACTGCCAAACTGTCTTGCACAAAGGTCAGTCCAATTTAAATTCTTTCCACAAATTCACAAGAGTATCTAACCCACCTGAGCTTTCACCACCTTCAAGTACTTTAATCCTTGTGTGGTGGTGGCAGGGGGAACCCATTACTCTGATGGATAAAACACACTAAGAATTAAAAAAAAATGACAGTGTGAGGGAGAAGAGTCTGGTGCACACCTGCTCATGGCCGAAGTTTTATGGCTATTAATGTGGTTGTGAGACTATTGAGAACAAGGCCTAGCACAGCACTTGATAGATGAAAGTTTTTTAAGTCTTGTCCCTTGCATTGAACATGGATATAGGCTATGGCTCTCTATTAACATGTGAGGATGTCATGAATCTAAACTTGACAAATGTCAGGCTATTGAGACATACCAGAATTGAAATCAAATACTCAGAGAGTTGTAGGGACTTACAAGAAATCTACATTGTCCAGGTCCACTCTCCAGGCCTGTTCTTCACATGAGGACTCTGGAACCCTGCTTAGGACACACTGACCTTAGGACCCTTCTCTATACCTTCAGAGCCTTGCTCTTTGTATTATTCTAGTTTTACTATCTAATTTTCCCCCGATTCTGAGTCTGCCTCTTTAAGCTGGGAATAGACCATTCTATTGTAAGTCCTGGTGTGTTCTGATTGGTTTTCCTAAATAATCACTGATCCCACTATACTGCAGATATGAAATGCATCTTGTCTGCTGTATCTTTAACGCTGGCCTAAGACAAGGGTGTCACCTTGCTGCCAGTTGACAGGTAAGGTTTAGGAAGTGATGGGATAACAAACCTCCTCACAACTGATGAAGTCTCTATGGGCTCATTGTGCCCCTTCTTACCCCATTTCACATACAGAGAAGTGATGTTCCCAGGGGCTAAGAGATTTCACAGTAGTTGCTAGTGGCAAGCAGGAAGGAACCAGTGTCCTTGTAACTGACACCCACCCACACACTCCAGACTTCTCCTTAGTGGAAATGATAGAGCAAACACCCATACTGAAGGTCATTCTAAAGATGTTTTCTGAATGTGACCAAAAGTCTGTAAATTGAAGGCACACACCTCTCCCTGTAACATGCACACTGCTAATAGGCAATGGCAAGACAAAGGTGCAAGCTTGAAAACATGGCTGCCTACTTGCTAACTTCTAGAACTATCATAGAAGATCTTTGGGAAGTTCCATCAGCAGCTCTAGGTCAAACTCTGAAAGCAAATCAAAATGCCAAGTCCAGATCACGACTAAGAGCTCATCCTTCAAGTTAAGTGCAAATGCATTAACAACCCTGACCCTGCCTGGATGCCCATCCTGTCATGACTGCCCTGCTGGTGAACCTTGGCCTATGACAGCACCCTCCTTGTTTACCTAGCTAATTGTGCTGGAGGTCTCCCTTCACCCCTTCACAGGTCACGGAATGCCCTGTCCAGTCAAGTCAATGACCTTGGATGTACTAAGAGCCATAAGCAAGCAGAGAGAGGGAAGACCCAAATTACTGAATTTAGAACAATGTACTTTTCATCCAGTGGTTCAGAGATGGCTACTTTGCACCATAAAGGGTGAAAACCATGATCACTTCCTTCCAAAATTATTCCCTACCCAAGCCAATAAATCAAATCACTTTCTTTAAAAAAAATCTGGTGACCAAGTTATTTCCCAAAATTACTGCCTCAGACTCTAAGCAATAGTGACCTAGGTCTACCTCTCTCTCTGTGTCCCCCTTCTTTGTGTGTGTGTGTGTGTGTGTGTGTGAGAGAGAGAGAGAGAGAGAGAGAGAGAGAGAGAGAGAGAGAGAGAGAGAGAGAGAGAGAGAGAGAGAGAGAGAGAGAGAGAGAGAGACAGAGAGACAGAGACAGAGACAGAGAGACAGAGAGACAGAGAGAGACAGAGAGACAGAGACAGAGAGATTTCAGAGCACATCTGAGCTCACTCATTTCTCTGAGCATGGGCAAAAGAGTCTTTTTTTACTTGGCATAATGTAATGCTAGAGAAGTAGAAAGGAAATAAAGTCTCCCCCATTCTCCTCATTCTCTTTCTTTCTCTTTTCATCGAGACCCTAACTCAAGTGGCTCACACAGCCCTCTGTGTGAGAGAGAATACCCAGAAGAACAGGAAGGACAGCATTATCCTGCCTGATGTCTTCCTTTCCTCCCATCTTTGTGATACCTTGCCTTCCGTGCCCATTTCTTTCCTTCCTCCTTCATTTTCACCTTGGACTGCCTCTGTTGTCATCCTCTGCTTCTTTTCCTGTTGCTGTGATAAAGTACAAGAGTGACTTAAAGGAGAAAGGGTTTCTTCCGGTTCATAATTCAAGGTGCAGTCTGTCATGATGGGAAAGTCAAGGTATCAGGAGCTTGAAGCAGCTGGACACACAGTCACGAATCGGAGAGTGATGTAAGCATGCAGTTGTTCAGCCTTTTGTCCATTTATAGTCCAGGATCCCCTGGCCAGGGAAGAATCCCGCCCACAACTAAGGTGGAGCTTCTCAGACCGATTAACATAGTGAAGACATTCCCTGCAGTCAAGCTGGCCATTGGCCCTAACCATCGCACTCACAGTAGCCAGCTCTCTTCAAGTTTATGCTTTCCTGGACCCTGAGATGGTTAATTTTCATCATCAACCTGATGAGATTTGAGATTATCCTGGAAGCTTCTGGATCCATGACCACATTCTCCGAAAGGTTTTAAGGAGCAGAAAAGAGCGCCCCCCCCTCAACGTGGGCAGCGCCATCCACGAGCTAGAATCCTGCTCTGATAAAGATAAAGTAAGCACCAGTATTCATCCTGTCTGCTTCATGACCTCAGATGCAACATGACCAGCAGCCTCACAGTCCTGCTGCTGTGATTTCCTCACTACAGGGGACTATGCTTTCAAACTCTGAGGCTATACAACCCTTCTTCTCCTCAAGTAGATTTTAAGGAATTTTGTCACAGCGAAGAGAAAAGTGACTGAAACTGACCCTGAAATGCCTTGTCTGGGTATGGTGTTTGCACCCTCATTCATCCCGGGTTCTGTTTATCGCCCCAGCCTCTCCCCAAGTAACCAAGAGCCTGCAGACCTGTGGGAAATACAGGGATGTTGGAAGGCTAAGCAACCTCTTTCCCCCACCTCTTTTCCCTCCCAAAAGGCTTTTAGGTAAAACGGATTTTTCCCTTCATGCTGCCCAGACCAAACAGGTATTAGGTGCAACGCCAGCAAAAAGGACTCTGAAGGTCTCAGGGAAGTCGCCTCCATGGGCACAGACCAACAGGGAGAAGGCTGGAGGATGCAGGTGGGCGGGGCATCAGGAAAGTGCCTTCCAGGTGTGTGAATCTACCCTGCTCTGGGGATGCGAACTTAAATGAGCACTCTGGGGAAGAAAAGCAGGCAAGGGCTTAAGAAAGCAGGAGCGGAGTGTGAGAGAGAACACGGACCGCGTTAGAAAGGACCAGAGGAAGGAATGCAGTGCAGCTGCAAAATGTCCTCATTTGGAGAACCAGGCCACATTGCCATGGCAACTCTGAATCGCCACAAGGCAGCCAGGCGTGATTTAAACACTGAGTCAAATAGTTGAACTATGAAGAAGGAGAAGAAAAGAAAGAAGGTAGTGAGTTTGAGGAAGAAATAAAAGGTCTGCAGAGGGCCAGAAGGAGATGCTGTCCAGGTCTGGCTAGTCTTCAAAGGAGACCTCAAAAGGTGGAGCTCCGGGCTTTGCTCTGCATCTTCTTTCTCTGGTCTGGGCAGGTTGGGGGCTGCGTGTGCAAGTAGTTAACCTGCGCTTTAAGGAAGATTCTCCCAAAGGCACATGGATGCTAACCCAGGGGTTCTCCAGTCAACAGGACTACCCTCAGAATTACAGCCCTGGGCCAAACCTGTACATTACTGTAAGACCTCGTTCAGAGAGCCACAGGGACATTGTAGTCTCTTGATAAGGCAAAGGGTACTGACTCCACAGAGTGCTGAGCATGGCAATAACGTAGCTGCACCTGTAACCTATTCATGGCACAGGCTGGGAACTCTGGACAATGGGGGGGAAGGCATGTTTTACTGGTATAAAAAAAAAAAAAAAAAAAAAAAAAAAAAAAAAAAAAAAAAACTAACAGCCACCAGGGAAACACGCCTCTGTGAAGTCGCACCATGTGGGTTGCTTTCAGATGGAGGCAGCAATGACAGCAATTTGGAAAATAGTTTTCAGAGTGGCTGTGGACCTTTGGAAAATATGAATTAGCATATAAAACTGCTCTTCCATCTGGAACATTAATTACTCAAATTATGCACTTAATGTTCAGCATTTTATTTTACCTTGAGACAGGCTCTCAACCTCGTTGTCTGCCACAGCACTTTGGATCTTTTGCTATTAAAAATGTAGTTTCTCTTCCCCTACCTACCCTGTCATCTCCTTTTACTCCTCTGGAGGGCCCCAAGATCTCCAGGGGGAGCCAGGGGAGCCAAGTGACTTTAGCACATAGAGGACCAAACCAGACCAGGAAGAAAGCAGGGACTGGTCCACGCCACATACCCACTCAGATGTCAAGGGAGGAAGGGGTGGGTGCGCAGGTGTCCAGGCAACCTGACAAGCTCCCAGTGGCACTGGGAGTGGCAGAATGGAGAGTCCATTTTCCTTTTAGCTCAAAGCCAGTAGGAAACTGGCTTTTCCTCTTCCTTGTACAGCAGCTTACATCACATCATTTGCTCTATGTGCATATTCTCAGCCAATCAATCCTCTGCATTTCCCGCTGCTTTTCTCTGCTACAGTGGAGCATCTACACCACCAACACTGCCCAGAAGCCTCCCTTGTCTCTCTCATGGTCACTCAAGGCAAGTGCTGTAGGATCCATGGGAAGCTTTCCCAGGTCCCAGATAAAGCAAATCAGGCCTTTCCCACTGCGAGCCCCTTTTTCCAGGTCTGTCCCCTGCCACCTAGGACAGACCTTTCACTAAATCATGTCCCCATCCACCACTTCACATATGTGGGACCAGGCTTGAGCAAGGCCGCCTGAACCCTGAACTTCTTCACTCCTTCAATCAGCTCTGTCTCTCAAGACTATGATGACGGCTCTTATGAACCATCTGCTGAGTGAGGCCTAGTGCCCAGGGGTGAGGAGGGCGCCATCTCACCAAACACTGCTCTGAGTACTTACGTGGGGTCAGGTGTTTGCTTCTTCTAACCTCACAAGGTTGCCACTATGAGTCTGACTCAACAGTCACCAATTCACGGCTCTCGAAGATTACGCAATTTCCTGAATCAAATCAGGTAGGAGCCACCAAAATTCAATTTGAAGCTCAAATTCATTTCTTTTCATCTCTACCCCTTTCTTGGTGGGGTCTCAGAATTACCCCACAGAAGCATGAAGTTGGCAGAGTGGCTGGAAGGTGATGATTCCAGGTGAACGAACTCTGCAAAGCCAAGACAAAGTAAGTCTACATTGATTGTGTCTGTATTTGTGGGTCATGCCTGTGGTGGGAGCTGGCTGATGGAAATCAGGGTACTAGCTCATGGTTTCCATCTCCAGCCTTTATGGGGCTGCTGTGGCCCTCTGTCTTTCTGATAAATTTGATCAAACATTCAACTAGCATATCATGCCATGTATTCCACAATTGTAATACTGGTTGTCTCTGGGTAGGTTTATTTCTTTTTTATTTCTTTTTAATATGTATTTATTTACAGGCTTTGAAGGTCCCTCGTGGAGGGGCTCACTATCCCTGGGGAGGAGTTGGGGATGGTTTGGGGGAGTTGGTGGGGAACGTGGGAGGATGGGAGGTCGAGGGAATGGGGGATGGATATGTAAATATGAGTTGTAATTAAAGAATAAAAATATTAAACATAAAAGTGGAAAAATGTATTTATTTATGACATGTTTTGCTTGGATGTATCCCTGCAGGACAGAAGAGGGCAACAGATCTCATTATAGATGGTTGTGAGCCCCCATGTGGTTGCTGGGAAACTCAGAATCTCTGGAAGAGCAGCCAGTGCTCTTAACCTTTGATCCATCTCTCCAGCCCTCTAGATGGGTTTCTGAGTAAACCAGAGATGTGAAGATATAGGAGGGAGAACTAAAAGGAAAAGCAAAATCACTCACTTGCACTAATATCAAATGAGCAAATGTCTACATCTTGCTGAGGGGGGGAAGACATTATAAAAATGCAACAGATAAATGCTCAAGTAAGAAAAATGACAAGCAGAAGACTCAGGATTAAAATTTTACAGGTTCGTCATGGTGCCACAAGCTTCCATCCCAGCATTGGAGAGGCAGAGCAGATGGGTCTCTGTAAGTTCAAGGACAGATTAGTCTGTATAGCAAGTACCAGGCCAGCCAGGCTATATAGCCAAACCTTGACTCCAAAACTGTGAACACAGCCAAATAGGACCCAATGCTCCCACTGAGAAGACAGTGGCAATAAATGCATTCTGACCCTTCTGGCTGCCAAGATGCCCTTGCCTGTCTCGTTCACTGAGGAAAGAACTTTTCTAAAATCCTTATTTCTGAACAATCTTTAGCCCCTTTAACTCACTCCAGTACTGTTTTACTTCTCCAAGCTTCTATCTCCCTTTCTCACTTCCTCGGTTTTCTTTCTGTCCCTCTGTTGAACTCACCTGTATTTTAAGAATAATGGAATTATGCATTGTTTCAGCACATAACTTAAATGCCCTCTTGTGGTTACCGTGCCAACCTTTTGGTTTTGGCCTCCTGCCATCTGTCTTGTCTCCCTGATCATGTCTACTTCCTCTCCTATCACCCCTTCGAGGATTAATGGGGTCATGCCACCCATCCCACTGGTTGGCTGACACTGATATCAGTTGTGACCCAAGAGAACCTCTAACATGGCCTTGGAGTTATGTACCAAGGAAGAGCAGGGGAAGTGGTTGCAGAAGGCAGATGTCCTGCTCAAGACATGAGAGTAGTTAAAGCTAGCTGCACAGAGAGAATTGTAGGCTTTCCTCCCCTCCTCCCCTTGCAGACACATTATGACATGAAGCCTGTCTCCTGCCCCTGCTAATACCATCTCAAGCACCCTGGCACTTGCAACCCTCATATCCAGAGATAATCTGACCCACTGGGAAGTCCTTTTCTGGGAGCAAATAAAATGACCAGTCACTTAGCAAGGCACCCAATGTCTGGCCCACATTTTGTCATTTATTCTGCCAACACGTGACCATAAGATGCTACCAAGGACTCTTCTGATGTGATGCTTACTGATCACACTCTAGTTAAGTCAGCCCTGGCACAAGGAGCATGCCTGTATAAAGCAGTGAATGAAGCCACAGTGGCCTCTGCTGTAGCATGGTCTCCTGACTTTCTGTCATCTAAAGAGAGGTATGTGTCAAGATGTGCACAGAACAGAGGCTGAAAATGCTCAGGGTGGGGGTCATGGAGCCGAGAAGTGGTATTAATGATTCACTTACACAAAGGCAACAACTGGGCTTGAGTCTTTTCCCAACGAAAGGAACTTGAAAATGGTCCAATCAGATTAAATGTAACTAAACACACAATCGCCTGGTGAAAATCATTAAATCTTTTCAATTCCTTCTAACCAGAGTCATAATAAAACCCAAATGCTTACACAATGCAGAGAGATGAACAAAGCCCTCTCGTGTACCTCATTTTAATCATGATGTCATCCATTATCATTTTATGGACAAAGAAACTTTGGATCAGAAAAGTCCAGGATTCTGGCCAAGGCTATGCAGCCAACAAGAGGCACAGCCAAAGTGAAGGAAGACCCAGGTGTCAAAGAACAGTCTTGTGACTTCACCTCAGATTTATGGCACTGTTGGTGTACAGTCCTCAGAGAAACAAGGACAAATTCAGGAAAGGCCCCCAAAGAACCAAGAATAGTTTGCATATTTAAACAATCCCATAGCGCCCATTCAATATTCAAAATCCACCTTTAGTGACTAATAACCAGTCACTTATTTTAATGGATCAATATGGTCAAATGAAAATATTAGCATATAAGGAAGAGACTTGTGTGCCCTCTACCCCTCTCTGAGGAGCAACTGGCAGTTAATAGCTGCTGGGGAAGGGGGTGTCATTTTCTTCAGTGGTAAAGCCACTGGTAGGTTCCTCATGCTCCAGTAAATAACTCCATACCCATGCTCAGGCAAGCAACACCAAGAAGGGATCCAGATAAGGGGGTGGGGGGGTCAGTAGAATCAAAATACATTATACCCATGGATGAAACTGTCAAAGAAGACATTTTATAATAAAATATCACAGAAAATCTTCACGTGCATGCTTATTCATTTTCTATAGGGTAGAGTTAGACTTGAATAATTCAGAAGAAAGTGCAGTGATTCTCCCCAGCACAGCTGGGGGCGGAATGAGCAGACCCTCTAACGAAAGGCCAGAGCCCTTGTATCTCAAGCAGCAGGGCAGGCTTCTCCTCGTCTCTAAAAGGACATTATGCATGCCACCACGATGCAGGATGTGTCGCTCTGTTTCATCCTGTCCCTCTCAGTTCTGCCCCACTGCATCCTTCCATATCACCAGGGCCAGCTTCGCTCCCTCTGGTACCAATTCATTTGATGTAAACCATAGCTTTCCACAGACAGACAGCTGGGAAACAACTCAAGGTCAACTCGTGGAAGGCATAACAGCAGACTAAGACAGGTAAACTTCCAGGGCTGAGATCAGAGCCCTGGGTGCCTGTTCTGTGTTAGGGAATGACAATGTGTGATCTATAAATGCAAGGAGAATCTTGTCACTGGAAACCAAAGACACCTGCTTAAATCTTGGCTACATGTCTTACCTGATAGGTAACCTTGAAAACCATTCAATGTGTCTGAACCCCGGTATCTCTTCTATAAAATGGGGTATGCCTCCTTCTTATAAGAAAAGCAAGCAGTTTCATTGATGTAATACCAATTAGCAGAACACAAGTAACATAAGCCTTGTAATGAAATATAAAGCACGCAGCAAATTTAAGTTCAACCACATGCTACCTATTACATGCGAAATACACTAAATAGCTCCTCATCAATTTTCTTAATGATATTAAATAGCTGTTTTTTTTAATGTGATGTAGGGCTTTTGTCTTCTCTGAGCTTTGAATTGTTTGCCCTACTATTTCTTTATACATTTCTAAAGAATAAATGTCAGAAGAACTTTTTCAGTTTGATTCTCCAGAGGCCAGAAGCAAGAAAAAGAAAAACTATTGCTCATTCTGGGTATGAATAATGTCCTATATTCATACCTCTATTAAGTAA